CAAGAAGAAGGGAGGATCATGGTAGGCCCGGCGAAGGCACCGTGGATGGTGGCCATGAGCGTGGGCGCCCTCCACCGGGCAGCCAAGGCCAGGGCCAACGTAGGTGGCAGCGTCTCGCAGGGCGCCAAGCAGCTTCCGGCCTCCGCAGCGGCGGCGGCGGAGAGGCGGCGAGCGGAGAAGGCCGAGGAGGGGCTGAGGACGGTCATGTACCTCAGCTGCCGGGGTCCCAATTAGTATCAGCTACCTGCTTCTTCTAGTTCTAGCCTCTGTTAGAAACCTCTATAGCAACAGCCACGCCGTGTGACTTGGCTGGTTAGGTCCCTCCTGATTGTAAATACTCCCGAGTATGTATCACTCGATGATGATGATGATGATGATGATGATGATGATGAAATTCCCCTGCTTGAATTTACAATGCCTTGCTTCAGAAAAGGGGTTTACATTGCCCTCCGATTCCAAACTGTCTGTTCGTTTCAGATTCTTTCGGAATAGTATTGCTTCGAGTTGTTCGCGATTAGATGCTTCGATGGGCAGAATCCACATCGCATCAAGACCAAGTAGGCCTGGAGAGCACGAAGTCACCCAGAGTGATAAACAGACAAGTCGGGGTATTGGAAGTAAACCACTGCTCATGTCATCGACTTGATGTGTCCAAAATCGCTAGAATATATACTGAAATCACCTGGATTGTTAGAAAGATGGTACCCCCATGACTTCCTCTCCTGTACTTATAACCCAGCGCCTCTCTGGAGCAGAACAGGGGTTGCCACCTCTAAGCCAGATGGATCAAATGCCCTCCCAAAACTTGTTCAGGAACAGATTGAAATGCTTGTAATGGCAGATAGAAACATTAGTAGACCTCAGTTTGGTCTGTGATACTGCCTTCGGTAAGTAGTACTAAGGTAAAATATATGGTACTGCCTTCAGTTTGGTCTGTGTATGCTAATTCTCTCGTGTTCAAATTTCATTAGTAGACCTCAAGTTCCATGGTAAACATGAACTCTGTTTATTTTAAAGGTGAATTGGTAAGGGAATCATAAAAACGTTGTACTGGTGCAGGCATTGCAGAAATTTTGGCAAATCGTTTATGACAAAGACAAGATATAATTTTCTAAAGTGGGAACTTACTACTAGCTAGGATAAAATGATTGCAAAGCAAATTAAGTAATAATTGTACAGAGAGAACAAACAATATTCAGTATCATCTATGTTAATGTTTAAGCAGAAAGCTCGATTTTTCCCTCTATTAGAAATCAACTGAAGTCCTATAAATCCTTTCAACTAATTTGTCTAATGATTGGAAAGTCCTAGCAGACACAGTACATCACAACACCTTCTGACACAAACAGTTGAGAAACAAATCCCCTTAATTTTTCTTGAACTTAATGCCAGAAGAGTATTCTCTGGACCCCAAAAATGTGGTGCAGATGAAAATAGTGAATTGCAGCTCCAATTTTGACACTTCAACACAGCTTTTTCGAAAAGGGGATACCACGGCCTCTGCATCAGATCGATGCATACGGCCATCTTATTAAACCAAATAAGTTCCAACAAGGTCTCAAAGTCTCCTACTGAAAAGTGAACAAAGCTCACACAGAGCCAACATGGGCTAGAAACACAGACTAGCCATATAAAAGACGCCACAACCGGCTGGCTGAAAAAGAGATAGGTAAACTAATTGCCTATCCTATTACATGATCGCCATCCAAACCGGTTGAAGATATCCCGAGCTACCATCTCCCAGCGGATAGATCCAGTAACCAAACGCTCCCTGGCCTCCGTCGGAGTGAGTAGCGATCACGAACAGATCAACGCCGTGGCTCTGAAAATAACCTGCAAAAATGAATATGTGTTGTCATGTTAAAAACCAAATCATTTCTGCAATTCCAGAGCGCCCACACCAAGGCACAGACTCCTACACGAATATGTCTCGCTAACTCGGGCTCTACCCTGTTAAGCCACGTTCCAAATAACGTGTTGACTGAATTCGGTGGAGTAATATTAAAAGCAATATGGATCGTCCTCCATAAAACTTTAGCTAGCGGGCAATCAAGAAAAAGGTGTTTGATCGTCTCATCCCGATCACAGAAACTACACCTAGTAGATCCTGTCCAATTACGCTTTGTCAAGTTGTCCTTGGTTAAAATAACTTGTTTATGCAGAAACCACATAAACACTTTGATTTTCAAAGGGACTTTAACAGCCCAAACATGTTTGGAACTAGGAATCGAGCTTGAATTGATAACATCAACATACATTCATTTAACAGTAAAAACTCCAGACCTAGTAAGCTTTCAGCATAATTCATCTGGTTGTTGGGAAAGCTGAATGTCCATCAGTCTCCTTACTAGATGCAGCCATTCTTCCCAACGATTATCCACTAATGCCCTTCTGAACTGAATATTAAGGGGGATCGATTGTAATACCGTGGCAACAAAAGTCTCACGTCTTTGAACTATACGATACAAAGACGGGTATTGAATTGCTAAGGGTGTCTCTCCGAGCCAAGTATCCTCCCAGAATCGCGTACTGGCACCGTCACCAACAATAAACTTTGTCCTATTAAACAAGGACAACTTTACTTTCATAAGCCCTTTTCAAAAGGGTGAATCAGTCGGTCTTACTGTCACCTGAGACAGAGTTTTGGTTTGAAGATACTTGCTATGGAGGATTTGCGCCCAAGTGGCGTCAGTTCCACTTGATAACTTCCACAACCACTTGCTGAGAAGACATCTGTTCTTAACTTCAAGATTCTCAATACCAAGACCCCCTTGGTCTTTCGGTCTACAGATGATATCCCATTTCGCTAACCGGTATTTTCTTTTAATCTCATCACCTTGCCAGAAGAAACGCGATTGATAGAAGTCCAGTCTTTTCCTAACTCCAACTGGGACTTCGAAGAACGACAAAAGAAACATAAGCATACTCGTGAGAACCGAATTTATCAGAATTAAACGGCCTCCGTACGACATGAGCTTGCCCTTCCAGCAACTCAGTTTCTTTTTAAATCGATCCTCGATGCACTTCCACTCTGTGTTTGTCAGTTTACGATGGTGGATTGGTATTCCTAAGTAGGTGAAAGGCAAAGCCCCCAAATCACACCCGAACAATTGCCTATAAGCCTCTTGTTCATCGTTGGCTCTACCAAAGCAGAACAACTCGCTTTTGTGAAAGTTAATTTTTAACCCGGTCAATTGTTCAAATAAGCATAACACCAGCTTCATATTTCTCGCCTTTTCCAAGTCATGCTCCATAAAGATGATTGTATCATCAGCATATTGGAGGATGGACACACCTCCATCAACTAGATGAGGTACCAGACCACCCACTTGACCAGCCTCCTTGGCCCTTCCTATTAGAATTGCCAACATATCCACTACAATGTTAAACAAGATAGGGGACATCGGATCCCCTTGTCGCAGGCCCTTTTGTGTCTGGAAATAATGACCGATCTCATCATTCACTTTGATTCCAACACTCCCTTTTTGCGTATATGACTCAACCTGGCGTCGCCATATTTCATCAAAGCCTTTCATACGCAACGCCTGTTGTAGGAATGGCCATTTAACTTTATCGTACGCTTTCTCGAAATCCACCTTAAAGATGACTCCATCCAACTTTTTCGAATGAATTTCATGGAGCGTTTCATGCAGGACCACCACCCCTTCTAGAATGTTCCTGTCCGGCATGAAAGCAGTTTGGGAATGCTGCACCACAGAATGCGCAATCTGTGTGAGCCGATTAGTCCCAACCTTGGTGAAAATTTTAAACTAACATTGAAAAGGCAGATCGGCCTAAACTGCTCGATTCTCACATCATCCATTTTCTTAGGAAGCAGTGTTATTGTTCCAAAATTTAAGTGAAATAACTGAAGCTGTCCAGAGAAAAGATCGTGAAACATTGGAAGTAAATCCCCCTTAATAATGTGCCAACATCTCTTGTAAAACTCCGCCGGGAATCCATCAGGCCCGGGAGCCTTATTGTTTTTCATCTGCGATATAGCATCAAACACCTCCTTCTCCGAGAATGGGGCAACCAGAATATCATTATTACGAGCAGTTAGTTGAGGCACATCCTCAATCCTGGACTCATCGAAGGATACACAACTGTCCTCCGGAGGTCCAAATAGCTGCTTATCTATAAGTCAGCAATTGAAGCTGTCCTCCTTCAGCCTTATCTGTAAGGACTCATCTGAACATGATCCAGAACTCCATCTCCATTAACACCTGTGTGAAGGCCTCCTTCCTCCTCCTGTCAATTGAAGCTGACCATGGAAATCACAAGTCAGCAATGATTAACTATAAGAGATTGTGTCACAGAACACAAAGTCTATCAACGCATCCCTTGGAAGGGACGGGGTTGCCCAAGAAACTCATAATGTATACACCGATACAGTACAACAGCAGATTGATTTATCAAACATTCAATTTGGTTTATCGGCATCGTGAGCGTGTAAGTTTTGGTTTGTTGGATAGCATGGCTTGGCCTGCAACAAAGCGAGGTTTTATCTGTTTGGTAAATTGCAAGGTTATGTTTGGAAGCTGCCACTGTTCCACGGGCAAAGATTTTCTCGGGACATAACTAAGTCAGCGTGTCCATGTTTTTTGTAGCTAAAAAATCAAGTAATTTTGGTTTCGCTGTGAATGAACAAGCGTTGTTATAGGCTAGCATTGCAAATGCAGAACAAGAAAAATCAGAGTGGCGCAGCGGAAGCGTGGTGGGCCCATAACCCACAGGTCCCAGGATCGAAACCTGGCTCTGATAATTTGTTGCTTGGTTTTTTGTTTATCTATTTATTTTTTTTGCTCTGCAAGACAAGGCTGCATCACCGGTAAGGTTTCTCTGAAGAAATAAAAACAGCTGCATCCCCCTGTTTGAGCGCCTCCACCAGGCACCAGCTGCATCGGAGACATTCATCTCCCCGGTCCTCCCTCCTGTCCTCTCAAGTCACTCACATCCGGGGCCACTGGCGCGCCGACCTCCGCTGGAGACGGCCAGCAATGCCAGCCGCCCGCCTGTCCTCCTTCAAGGCTCCTTCACGAGAGCGCCGACCTCCCCTCGCCGCCTTGGCTGCCGCCACGGAGCGCGTCCGCGCCGGAACGCTAAGTCGGCAGGACGCGCACCACCTGTTCGACGAATTGCTGAGCCAAGCCGCGACAGTCCCAGTACGCAAGCTGAACAACTTTCTTGCCGCCCTCGCCCGTGCACCGCCCTCAACTGCCTGCAGCGATGGTCCGGGCCTTGCCATCGCCCTCTTCAACCGCATGTCCCGAGGCGCTGGTGCACGGGTGGTGTCGCCCACGCTCTGTACCTATTCCATCCTCATTGACTGCTGCTGCCGTGCACGCCGCCCGGACTTGGTGGTTGCCTTCTTCGGCCGCCTCCTCAGGTTGGGGCTGCTCTTGGAGGTCATCTCCTTCAACAATCTCCTCAAGGGGCTTTGCCAGGCCAAGCGCTCAAATGAGGCTTTGGACATGCTGCTCCACCGGACACCTGAACTACACTGTGCGCCTGATGTCTTCTCGTACAACATAGTAATCAACGGCTGCTTGAAAGAAGGTGAAGTAGACAAAGCGTGCAATCTCTTCCATGAGATGCCCCAACTGGGAGTTCAACCTGATGTGGTGACCTACACCTCAATCATGGACGCACTAAGCAAGTCCGGAGCAATGGACAAGGCAGAAGTGCTCCTTCGGCAAATGGTTGATCAAGGAATTGAACCCAATATCAAGACATATAGCTATCTGATCCATGGATATTCTACTTTTGGTCAGTGGAAGGAGGCACTTAGGGTATTCAAAGAAATGGCAAGTCTTGGTGTTGTACCAGACGTTGTCACGTTGACCTCATTAATCGATTCCCTTTGCAAGCACAGAAGGACAAAGGAAGCTAGAGAAATTTTTGACTCTATGGCTGCAAAGGGCCTGAAACCTAATATCGTCTCCTACTCTACTATGCTTAATGGGTATGTCAAAGAAGGATCCTTCGAGGATATGACTGATCTCTTCAATTCGATGGTACGGAATGGTATCGTACCTAACCACCATATTTTCAACATACTGATCAATGCATATGCTAAACGTGGAGGAGTGAAGTGCACTGTAGGTCCTTGAACTATTTCAGGGATGTCACGTAGGTCCTCGAACTATGAAAATCGTCATCTAGGTCCTCAAAGTGCAGTAAGTGTGTCATTCAGGTCCAAAATCTCCCTGACAGGCTCTAACTGGCCAGCTGGCACATAAACAGTAACCGTAACCGTACGCGGCAAACAGTCCTGAATTCCTGTGCGTGATGAACAGTACACGACAAAGAATAAATATAAAAATATATCAAAAAACTGAGATCCTCTGTCATCGAAGAGACCCTGGCGCGTGAACAGTAAAAATGTCATTAATTCAAAAAAAGTTCGCGAACGATGAATTTGGAAAAAATATTCATGACTTTAAAAAAATGTTCGCGAACGATGAATTTGGAAAAAATATTCGTGACTTTAATAAAATGTTCGCGAACGATGAATTCGGAAAAAATATTTGCGACTTTAATAAAAAGTTCACTAACATTTTTTAAAGTCAGGAATTTTTGTGGTTCGCGAACATTTTTTTCCATACCCACGAACAATATTTGTGGTTCGCGAACATATTTTCAAATTTATTGTTTGTGAACTTTTTTAAAGTCGTGAATATTTTTCCCATATTCGGGAACATTTTTTTGAATTAATGAACATTTTTACTATTCACGCACCAGGGGTATCTTTGATGCCAAAGATTTTCAGATTTTTTTGTTCATATTTTTTTATTTTTCGCACTGTTCACCATGCCAGCTGGCCATTTAGAGGGGGTTAGTGAGATTTTGGACCTGGATGACACACTTACTGTACTTCGAGGACCTAAATGATGATTTTCATAGTTCGAGGACCTATGTGACACCCCTGAAATAGTTTAAGGACCTACATTGCACTTCACTCAACGTGGAGTGATGGATGAGGCTATGCACATGTTCGAAGTAATGAGGCAACAAGGAGTAAACCCGGATGTATTTGACTATCAAATCATAATGGATTCACTTTGCAAAATGGGTAGGATGGATGCTGCTCTGGACAAATTTAATCAGATGGTCAATCAAGGAGTTTCACCTAACAAAGCTGTTTACCAATGCCTGGTTCTGGGTTCTTGCTCTCATGGTCATTTTGTGAAAGCCAAGGAATTGATTTCTGAAGTGGTTAATAGAGGTCTGTGTTCTAACAGTGTGTTCTTCTATCCTGTAATAAACGGCCTTTGCAAAGAAGGAAAGGTAAAGGAGGCACAGGATATGTTTGACTTCATCCTAGGTATTGGTCAGCGGCCTGATGTGATTATGTACACTTCACTGATGGATGGATATTGCCTTGTTGGCGAGGTGGAGAAAGCACTGAGTGTACTCGATGCTATGAAATCTGCTGGCCTTCAACCTGATGATGTTGTATATGCTACACTTCTTAACGGTTACTGTAAAATTGGAAGGATCGCCGATGGATTGAGCCTTTTCAGGGAAATGTCACTCAGCGGGGTTAAGCCCATGACTATTATATACAACATTATACTGGATGGGCTGTTTTGCTCCGGGAGAACAGTTTGTGCAAAGGAAAAATTCAATACGATGACTGAAAGTGGCATACCAGTGGGCGTTGACACATACAACATAGTTCTTAGTGGACTTTGTAGAAACAATTGCACTGATGAAGCAATAGAGCTGTTCAAGAAACTACGTGCAACGAACGTGAAGATTGATGTCATAACACTCACTACCATGATTTCTGCAATGTTTAAAACTAGGAGAATTGAAGAGGCCAAGGATTTGTTTGCTACTATATCAGCCATTGGGTTGGTGCCTTCTGTTGTGACTTACAGTGTAATGATGACGAATTTCATAAAAGAAGGGTTGCTGGCAGAGGCTGATGATATGTTTTTAACAATGGAGAAGGCTAGCTGTGCTTCCAACTCCAGTCTGCTAAATCAAGTGGTCAGGGCGTTGCTGGAAAAAGGTGCAGTTGTAAAGGCTGCAACTTATCTCGCTAAACTTGATGCTAAACAGCTGTCAGTTGAAGCTTCAACGATTTCGTTAATAGTATCTCTCTTCTCAAGGGAAGGGAAACTAAGGGAGCATGTAGAGTTGCTTCCAGTAAAGTACCAGCCTCCTCAGAGTTCGGCTGACAATTGAAAGAGTATACTTGAAGCTTCGTACTGAAAAACAAGGTGGTAAAATTGAAGTAACAAGCCTGACTCCTGAGGGTCATATGAGTTTTTTCTGATGAAGAAAGTGTAACTCTGATTTAGAATATTTGGATATCTGTCACACATTACATATTTATCAGCATCCAAGTTTGTGGCAAAGTACTTAGCTGCTTGCCTATGGGAATACCCAATCTCCGCATTTATGTATTCATGCCGCAGGAAGGCGTGCCAAGGAGTGCAACACAAACCAGATATAAAATAGTCTGTTTAATAACTGTGAGATGGTTGATGCACTGCTTTTGCTCTCTGTTGATGATTCTTACTATCATGTTCACTCTTAAAACTCCAACTAAGCTATGATCTCTCTCTTCATAATGTTACAGAAAGTTAGGTTGCTCTAGATTAAATGCTTGCATTTTTGAAATTTCAGCAACCATTGCATGTAAACTCAATTTGTTACCAGTGATATCCTGGTTACTTTCAGTTATGCCTCTCTCAGTTACTAGTGCACTTTAGTTAGTAATCTGATGTTCTGTGCTAAGCATGTTTTGAAGATGAGAAGCGTTAAGCTACTCCCAGGAACTGCTGACTGTAAAAATACATTGCAGACGCCTAGGTCTCTCCGGTAAGAAATATTTGCGTTTATTCATTGTATTGACTAACTGACTAATCATGAACAGAGCGTGAAGGATCAGCGCTGTACTGCCATTGGGAATTGGGATTCTCATCTCAGAAACATTTGTCATAGTGCATTCTACGGTGTTGACTGTTGAGCGATTACCTTGAAGACATTTTTTAGATAAAAAGTTGTGCAATACGGAGGCCTCCAATGGAAGCACACATTTACACATATTCTGTATGGTCATGATCAGTCAGTCAGTCAATACCAGTAGGTGTAAAAGTACCGTTGATCAGGAACGTTTAAGTAAAGTACCGTTGCACTAATGAAACAAACAAATCAGAGTGGCGCAGCGGAAGCGTGGTGGGCCCATAACCCACAGGTCCCAGGATCGAAACCTGGCTCTGATATTAATTTTGTTTTTCTATTTCTTTTCTGGTCTGCATCATCTAGATTTTCCTCTGAAAAATATTGCAGTTTCTTGTTGCAGAGACGGATGCGTGGAAGGAAGTGACATTTGAGTTCTTCATGTATACAATTATGCTTGAAGAAGAACATGGTTTAAAAGGTGTTTAAACAAAGGCTGAAAGGGGGGAACCAGAAAGAGTGCTCTCTTATCACTCTTGATTCTTACAGAGGTCAATCCTTGATAGTAAACTTTTTTGAGGGAATCCTTGATGTTGTGGAGCAAGGGCATTGTAATTTGTTAATTCAAGTGTCAGAAATTTTATAGTCATCATCAATTAGCATGATAGTATTTACAAAAATCTGGAAGCAAAAGCTACCCAACTAGTACTACTTGTCTAGTTAGCTGAGGTACATGACCATCTTCAGCTATCAAAGCGCCCATCAGTAGCAGTGACGCGCCCTTCATTCGAAACTTGTTACCAGCTTAAAGCTGGTAATCCTTGACAGTATACTTAAAACCAAATTGAGACAATGTAAATTTTGTTCTGAAACAAGCTCGATAGAGTTTTTTGGGATTTAGGAAGCAAGACCAACGAAATTTCTGTGAACTGCTTTACCAGTTTACTAAACTCTAACTGATGCATGCCAAAACCTCTACCGGTTATACAACCATCCGTTGGCCATAGCGTTTATTTTCAGTGTTACTTCTCACGGGACATCCGCTAGTTCAGCCTCATGCGCTTCTTTCGCTTTCTTTACCAGGACAGCCAACATATCTTTGTGACGAGTCTTGGTCTGATGGTTAGACTCTATTTGTTTGTGGTGCAACAGGCAAACTAACTTATTTATCTTCTTTTCGTATTTATCAGCATCATCCAGCAACTTTGTTTGCACGTCTTCTGGAAACATCTGCAAGAGACAAGGCTTTGTTAAAAGCTGTCACAAGTGTAGATGAAATGCACGGCGAGCTGCTGCGAACCCATTTGCATAGTAGGTATGGTTTACCTCATTAGAATCGTCAATTTCACGGCTGCATGTGATCTTAAAAGCTGTCGCAAGTTTCAGAAGGTCCCAATTCTCACATTCGATGCCGGAAATTTTCTTCAGGTGGCGACCAATACATCAAAAGCCTGGAGAACGTTTCTCCTCAAAAGCATCACAGTCAAACGAGACGGATGCGGTCGCAACAATCTGCTCATTGACCTGCAGGATATAAAGAGGTTGATTCATCACTGAAATAAAAATGCTATGGCAATTTATTCTAAAATTTTGGTTTTTGAAACAGACATTCTACAAAATACTATTGCATCCAAATCTGCTCACCATCTCTGGTTTGACATCAAAGCCATAACGACTCAACAACATCTGTAGTCCTTGACTCATAGGGAGCAGATCTTCTTTAGGCAGCTCTGTTTTTTCTCTGCGCACCAAACTAGGCATGAGACGCTTTAATCCCCACATTACCTCCATCACAAGTTCATCATGCCGACAGGGTATTCCCTGTGAAAAGGTAACATGAAAAATGGCGCTCAAACTTGTGAACAATGTAAGAAAACAAGGAGCTTATACATATATTTGTTTTATACTACTCACCAAGCTTTTTTCAATTATAGATTTATATTCCGGTTTCCCAACTAGTATCTCCTGCCCAGGTCCGGGTGACTTCATGATCATCTCCGTAAGCTGTTTGTTAACACCAGTATCAGCATTAATGGCGCTGGACTTGTTGTCAAAGGTTCGGAATTCCTTCATCCAAACAACCTGATAACAGAAATAATGAACAAAGGATGAGCACGTTCAGTTGAGAAAAGCTTCATGTGCTGAGGTGAAGTGGTGTAGTAGCGCCACATGAAAGGCTCAAACATTCCTAGCTAGCAGTTACTAAGCAAGCAATATTCGTACATGAAACAGTTGTGTAATACAAACTGAAAAAGAAAGAATGTCGGTTACAAACGATGCAAGGTCGACGCTGAACGATTAGCGGTGACGATGAGAAGGGGAGGAAAAGAAAGACTCACGTTTCTTGCTCTACTGCAAGTAGCGAAGTTTGCCCACACCCTCTGAAGACAAGGATGAAATACAGTGCATGGGTTAGTAATCGACGACAAAAGGAAGCAATCAGCACATGATCGATTATAAAATAACCAAGGGAAGAAATATCACATTACCTGTAGTGCATACGGTGCGTAGAGGAAGAGCCCACAGAAGCAGAAGACGGCGAAGCCGGATGGCGTCTCTAGCAGCACCGAGACCGCCCCAACACTATTCAGAAAGCCCTCACCTGCGAACGATCACACCCAAACGAAAATCGAAGGCCCTCTCGCCAGATCTAAGTTCCTCCTCCCTCCCTTGTACTCCCTCCGTCTGAAAATACTTGTCATCAAAATGGATAAAAGGAGATGTATCTAGACGTATTTTAATTTTAGATACATTTCTTTTTGTCCATTTTAATGATAAGTATTTTCAGACGGAGGGAGTATTTCGAGGAGAACGCGCCTGGCATGCAGTTTCCATTCTCACACCAAACTGGATCGGATTGGGTGAGTGAAATTGAGATGGATGGGGGATGATGATGAGTGGGGGACGGCGGCTCACCTGCGCTGGGGGCTAGCTCCCCGGCAGAGCTCTGCCGGGGATCATCTTTCTGTTTCGTCGACGCGCCGGAGAAGGATCCGAAGGAGGAGGACGGCACGACGGAGATGGATCCGGAGGGGGAAGCTGCCGCCAGAGACGGCGTCTCTAAAAGGTCTTATATTTTAAAACAGTTTGAGAAAAGTATACTTTTCGTCCCTCAACTCTGGGCGAAGTTTACATTTAGTCCCTCAACTACGAAACCAGATAACTTACGCCCCCAACTCTTGAAACCGGGCAAGTTTTGTCCCTAATCTTGATTTTGACCAGTTTTGATGATGACTCACCCCGGTTTTGACCTGTCCATGCCAACCTGGCAAAGAAGACCCCAAAATTGACCTGTCCCGGTTCCTGTCTCTCTCTCTCTCTCTCTACTCCACCGCTCTCTCACGCGGCGTCTGCGGGCAGGGAGCGCAGCGAGGAGCAAGCTATCGGTGGTGGTGATCTCAACAGCGTGCGCGCGGCGCCAGGAGATGGGAGATCGCCGTTGCTCGACCTGCTTGTTGCCGGGATGGACCACGTTGGCTTTGTGACCAGTTTGCCGGCCTGGGGCACCTCGTGGAATGGACGGTCTCTGGCGGCACGAGAGCTGCGGCGAGACCACGGTAGCGTTGAGGTGGTAGGCTCGGCGCGCCGGTGTTCAGGGGAGCAGCCAACGGCATGGTGGCCAGCAGGACAACAGATGGCGGTTGCTTGCAGATTGGCCATGGCGGGGCGCAGCTCGCGCGACAGCGCGAAGCATGGAGGCTACACAAGCATGCGAAGTACGGTGAGCATGGCGTGAACGATCATGGCACGGTCATCAACGACGGGTGCTGGTGCTCACCAACCAGGCTCGGTCGCGCGTTGCTCTGGATGATTGCTCACCTCTAGCTGATTGATTCACCCATCCGCCATAGACACGCACGTACAGAACCTTTATCGCTCGATTCATTCTGGCCAGAACACACGAGTAGCACACGTACGCATGTCACCAGTTGCACGAGTTGATGCATGCCCACAAAAACGTGTCGTCCATGTTCATGTTGAAGGGAGTGGCGATTGAGCCGTGCGCCAGTAGCGCTCGACGCGCGGCAGTGCAGCCTACAGACGGTGGCGAAAGCAGCATGGTCATGGTCATTGTCGCCGACGTTCCGTGCAATGTACTCGAGTACATAACGCAGGACCGCGAGTCTGCCGACGCGTTTGCTGAAGTATAAGAGAAGGCCCCACGACTATGTGCGGACCAGCGGCAAGAGGGCGACTAGCAGCGGCGAGACCGTGTCCAGATGGAGCACCGAGAGCGGCAACGGTTATGCTGGTGATGTGTAT